CAGAAAAAGGCCCTGAGGGCCTCGTCGAGCCTGCCTTCACTTAGGGCGGCCGACGGGCTGAAAAAGGGGGCCTTATGGGGCTCATAGAGGCTTTGGCCTCGCAGATTCCCACTTGGACTGGATTCTCGACAGATACCTGCAAACAGCCAAACGAGTGTGTCTGATCGGTGGCCTGGGCTTGGTCGATGTTGACTTTGACTCATGAGCCTGAATTTCCGAGCTCCTGTTGACCTTTGACTTTCCACGTTCAACTGTGGCAGGTAGGGCCTCTGAAGCCCAGTTTTAGGCCATGCTTCGGGTACCCACAGCCGCAGGCCTTGGTTCAGGCAATTTTCCATGACTCGGTTGTGGCCTTTGGCCCCTGATTCGGCCCTGACTGAAGTGACGACCTATGGCTCACAACTATTGCATGTTTCAAGCTGAGTTATTGCATACACCTTTGCTATGAATCCTTGTCCTAATTGGTTCTGCAGATCTGTTTCTTGTATGCACACTATGTATGGCGGGAGCACGCCTAACCATGATATTTTGGACCAGACGTGTCACATTTTTCTGTTTTTTTAAGTGTGGCTGCCGACCCTTTTACCTCCCCAGAAGGGATTTCGAGTTCTACACTGTCTTTTTGCTCTGTTGTCTGACTTTATTCTTTTCCCTTCTGCAAGGTGGATTTCATTCCGTTTTTCATTGTTGGATTTTTGTGCTCATTCAGGTTCTTTGATTTCTCCAAACCCACAGCTAGAAGAGCGTTCCGTATACTTCAGGTGAGAGTCCCATCTGATCCCACCTTTGCAGGGGCATGCACTGTTGCTTTGCAAGCTCCCTAATGAGACTAAATCTACATCCTGCTGCTGTAAACATGAATCTGCTGCCAGATTCCTATCATCTCCTTGCCTACATTGTCAATTGGACATGCCCTTGGCAGTGTGAACCCTGAACTGTAAACAATATGTGCCTTCTATGAACGTGTCCACCGATCGTCTGACACAAGGAAACCCATTGCCCCGCTTGTTTACCTTGGCAGCCTGAGGCAGCAGAGCATCTTTCTGGACACGATGTTTACTGGTAGGAGATCCATCCTTTCACTTTGTGAAAAATTGTAGTACTATAGCTTCCCCATTAACTGATCTAACTCGACTTGACACACCTTGGGAGAGGACTGAAGAGTGTGAAGCAAGCTTCAGGAAACTGAAGTATGCTCTAACACACTATGAAGTTTTTAAACTTCCCGATCCTGATAAGCCATTTGTTGTGACCACAGACGCCAGCCAATATGGCATAGGCGCGGTCCTTGCGCAAAAGGAGGGGCAAAAGTTGAGACCCATAGAGTATATGAGCAAGAAGATACCGTAAAAAAAGCTAGCGCCCTCTACAGAGCGCTGGTCCATTGGAGACACTACCTCCTAGGTAGGTTCTTCTACTTGAGATCTGACCATGAGACCTTGCGCTGGATCAAGACACAACCTGTACTGTCTGATGCACTCAAGCGATGGATTCAAATGATAGACATGTATGACTATCAACTTGATCCAATCAAGGGAGAGTACAACAAAGTGGCAGATGCACTATCGTGAAGGGTGGATTATCTCGGCGCGCTAGTCACCGAATTTGGCATATCTAACGATCAACTCGATCCTTGGTGGAAGCCTATCAGCAAGATTCAGTTATGTCTGAGATCATCCGAAAGTTCAAAGAGAAGGATAAATAAACTTTTGATGAATTTATGATGGTAGATGGCTTGCTGTTTCTTGAAAAGGCAGGGAATAAAAGACTGTGTGTTCCTAGTAGTGAACCTTTGCTTAGTTTATTTTTAGGGGAATGTCATGATGCAGCTGGTCATTTTGGCTATAGAAAGACATCAGCTAACTTAGTGCAGAAGTTTTGGTGGCCCACAATGATGCAGGATGCAAAGAAATATGTAGAGACCTGGCAAGTTTGTCAACGTGACAAACCAAGGACGCAGGCACCTTTGGGATTGATTAAACCTTTGCCCTATCCCTGCTGGACCTGGGCAAGAGTGTGTCCATGGATTTCATGGATACTCTCGTGACCAGCAAGAGTGGAAAAAGGCATATATTTATTATTGTAAGCGATCACTTCGAAAAACAAGTGATGGAGTGTTGTTTTCTAGTGCCTTTCTTTTGATCACTTGGGATACACTCATTTTTCCCATTGAACGTACGTAATTTTGATTCATAGATTGCAATTGATTAGCATTCAAACTATTTATCATTCCATCACACCATTTTGATGCTCCAGACACACTTGAACACAAATAAACTATACTTGTGTTCGATAGATTCACTAAATATGCAAGAATAATTGCTATGCCCGAGACAGCCGAAACTGACCACATCATCAAGCTCTTTATGGATAAATGGGTACGTGACTTCGGTCTACCTGCGTCTATAGTTAGTGACAGGGACATCAGATTCACCAACGAACTGTGGCAAAGTGCAGCCCAACAGATGGGCACCTGGCTCCAAATGACATCAGGGAACCACCTTGAGTCAAATGGCCAGGCTGAACAGATGAATCGTATAGTATAGCTCCTCGTTAGGCATTACATCAAGCCAAGTCAAGATGACTAGGACGAAAAGTTGCCTCTCGTCGCCAACCTGTACAACAACGTTGTGCACAGTACTACTGGAGTGACTCCCACCCAACTACACCTTGGTTGGATGTGACGCTCAACCTCACGCCCTGTGCTGTCTTCCGTTCGGAGTGTTTAAAATTGTGGAAGGGGCCCTGGAAAGGCAGCAAGATGGGTTGTGAGGGAGAAGAATGCGCGCACGAGACTTCACAGCGCGGGAAAATTCAATCCAAAAAGTATCGTTGAACTTCCCATCGAGTCGTTGCTCTACGTTTCGCGTGGAAGGGGGCGGGCACGTACTTGGTATCCCGTTTCCGGGTCAAATCCCGACAGCGCTCATTACACAATTCTGAATCTGACGTGGAAGACCTTAACCGAGTGGCTCTTTCCTTATGCTCATCTTCCTCTCGTACTCGCTAGGGAAAACCCTTCGATTGGTAACGCTCGAAGCGGCGACAATCGTTGCATAGAGTGTTAGGCCAATGGGGCGCTACTGCTGACCACAAGATGACGATGAGCTCATTGAACGACAATAGCAACGAATAAGGCGGAAAGTGTGTGTCCACAATAACAAAACCAGCACCAACAAATCCAGAGCATCGAGTTTCAGGAGGGAAGTAGTATCTTCCGCCGATCTTGACGACGGCTTCTCGTACGTCCCACTCACATACATGTGTCCTCCTCTCGTTAGACGGGAAGGGGCGTGGCGGGGATGTGGGAGGCCGGCGCCCAGTCGGCTTGGGACAATTGGTCCACATGGCAATAGCGAAATCCTATTTAGCATGCATCCCACATGTCGATCACAACGATCCTATGATTTATTCGGAGACAAGTCCACCAGGCGATCGTCTCATCATGACATCATTCAAGCATTCTCATTCATTTCCCCCAGACATTCATCCAAGAAGGTGCGAAAATGGCAGCCATATATCACTCAGTTCTCCGTGTGCTCTGCACCCCTACCCCGTTATCCTCGTGACTAATTAAGTGTCAGCCAAAACAACCATCCCATACCTCGTGTGCAATAGATCGACAAGCTTCCATGACCGTTCATGTCATAGAGAGAAAGAGAGGAGGTAGGGAGGAAAGGACGCGGAGCAGACAAGGTAGGTGAAAATTACACCAAGATCGGATGATGAAAAAGAGCTTCCGGCTTAGCTGCCGGCGAACTGAACTCACTCCAAGGAATAGATTCGAGACAAGGAGGCGCATCCGCCGTGAAGTTCAACTATGGCCCCGGGCCATTCATCCATTCAACTCTGATTACTATCCCCGTGCATGCACTGACGATCCCAGTCGCCACGTGTCACTTTCGAGCACTGCGATCGTCACCCCGCCGACTTAGTCTCTGGCACTCCACACGTACCATCTAGCCACTGCTTCCCGGAAGCTGCCAGACGAGTTGAGAGAGAGATTTGCGGACGCGCTTGCGGAATTTATAGTTGCGAGAAGGGAGGTAGGTACAAGGGAGGATGAGGATTGGGTCAGGGAAGGGTGAGAGAAAACTTGGGGATAATCGCCCAACAAAAGCCATGCTGATCCTTCTGGGTCCGATTGTAGCCAATCAGAGTCGTCGCGTAATAGGAGTTTCCTCTTACACGACACTTCTCCTTGGCTATACGGAGTGAAGAGAGGATCGACAGGGTTTTTGGGCGTAGGACTCAGAGTGGGCGGAAGAAGGGTGTGCAGGATAGCGCGAAACGGATCCAAGATTCAGATGATCAAGAAAGAGAAAAGGCGCGTGGGGCGAGAGAGAGAGAGAGAGAGAGAGAGGGAAAAACGGTTACAGAGGGAGAGTGAGCGCGGGCGCAGAGGGAGCATCGAAGATGGCGAGGGGAGCAGAAAGGGGGAAGCTCGCTTGCATGGCGCCGATCACAAATGCAAAAAGAGGCACCAAAACAGTTACAGATTCCTAAGTCCTATGCTAATTCAAAAATTGAAATCACCATATCCGTGCGTAAAGTAGGCGCGGGAAAAAGACAGTCCTACATCCATTCATATTCCCACCAAATTCTCAGAGTTTTTTGCGACGTGGTCGAGAACATTCACGCACAAAAAGGACACGTCGGGTTCCATTTATTTCGGAGTTTCTAACTGCCGGGCCAAGTTTCCTAGCGCGCTTACTAAAGCGCGCGTAATTCCCATGCATTTTCCAAATTATGAAAACGAAATTTCAAGAATCAATGAGACTGAAAATACGGGCCTCAGCAAGGCATCTAAGAAAAAGGAAAACGGAGAGGGGCCTTGTTGGCCCGAGCAAAATTCGAAAAGAAAAAGAGAGAGAAGGGGTCCGGAAGATGGCGCAGGCTCAGAAGCTGGTACGTCACATGGAAGCCCAGATCTACACTTGACTTCCTGCTACCAGAAAGACAACCCAGTGCAGCACCTGGCAGCATAGAGTTTGCTGTCAAGTACGAACAGATGCTACAGCAGGCCGTTGAACATATTAGAAAATCTCAGGATGCTATGATTACATATGAGAATAAGCATAGACGGCCCTGTAACTTTCAGGTAGGTGATAGAGTCTGGGTCAAATCATATGAGTTAGGTCAAGAGGTGGGGATTTCACACAAACTAATGCCACAGTACTTTGGGCCCTGGGAGATTTTAGACATTGTAGGAGATTAACCAGATGGGCCATCATACGTGATTCGCATTCCTGCACACTTGCGTACTTACCCTATGTTCCACGCCTCCAAGTTGGCACCTTTCGCTGTCACTGATCAGTTTCCCTCCAGGAGATCAATGCTGCCCCCAACCATGGATGGACATGTGGACAGCACAAGCTGATGCATGTACCCAAACCTCCAGGGAGGGGTCGACCGCCAAAGCCACAGGTGCAATACAGAGTGCGGTTCGGACATCACATTGATCCTCAAGAAGACCAGTGGTTCACAAGAGAGGAATTAATGAAGACTGCTCCCCAAATCATCTCAAGTTACGAAAGAAAGCTGAAAGGGAAGCAGCCTGATACATAAGAACTTCTTAGAGGACATATCGAAGAAAAGGAGGAGGGAATGCGAGGATCTGGGTCCTCGGCAGGCCTAAGTGGTTGAGGGAATGCGAGGATCTGGGTCCTTGGCAGGCCATACTACAGATGTGCCCGCCCTAAGTGAAGGCGGGCCTAACAAATCACGAAAGGCTCTCAGCTGTCAATTTCGTATTTGGGGG